TTTTCAGATGCAGTTTGGGAGCTACCATAGGCCAAGGACTATTCTCAGTGGCATACAGCCACCCCATATGGAAAGCTGGAAAAAAGCTTATAAGATACTTCTAAATTAGCCCACACAAATACTGGAAAACGGTATGAATGTTGGTCATTCAATGCCTCAGTACTAGCAAATAGTCTCAGGCACATAAAACTCCCTATGATGGGTGTAACCATACAGGTGCAGCCAAAAAGTAATGGTACAGCGAAGCTAGGGTTGATTAAGATGGTCACACCACCTGACTCTACAAGGATAAAGACACACCATGGTGGTAAGTTGGATGGCTTTTTCCAAATAAGACATTTATCAGAACTGAGTTTCTAGCATCTTCAGAGATGTGGGGAGCAAGTCCCAGAGGCTCACTCGGCTGCCAGGGAATTAGTCTTCCAGAGACACCTGCACAGAGCATTACTCTTTCACAAAATTTCATAGCTGCTCAGCTGAAGTAATTCAAAGCCTTCAAAGAAGAAAGAACAAAGTATACCATGATGCTATTTTAAGGCCATCCTAATTTAATTTACCTCAATAAGAAAAGGTTGAGTCAGCAGATACTGTCACAATGGCCTAGTATAACTTAAGCATCAGAGTTTTTCACATGGTTTTGACTGGTCACAAGTTCTTTTATGTAATAGTTTCTGTCTCTTCCCTGTTCCCCCATACACACGTATACTTCTACCAGTTCTAAGGGAGAAACACAACCCTACCCATGGTATTCACACAGCCATGGCAATGCCATTTCAGCACTCCAGCTCATCTTGATCTGCCATTGTAGAAGGGACAGGGATAGGACAAGGTGATGAGGAAGAGAGAGTCACTGCCCAGTCAGACAGACCACTGCATTCCAGCATGGACCCAGCCAGTCACTCCACTTGCCTTATACTCCTCTACTGCCACTGGCTCTTCACCTGGCTGTCAGTATAAAGATATTTAGAGGGAAAGAAAGAAATGGTGTGAAGGAAGAGAAAATGTTAAAACATATTTTTTCTTTGGGCTTTCATATCCTACAGAGATTATTTTGCTTCCCTTTGGTCCATCAAGTGAGAGCGTCCGGCCTGCTAAGCATCTTTCTGAGCCAAAAGGTAGATTAAGAACTTGGAAACAGCCTTGGTATGTATCTGAAGGAAATACAACTTTCAGAATGATTTTAAAATGATCCTAAATTCTGTAAGACAGTCAACAGCACAGATCTGTATACGCTCGGCATACAAAGAAGCAATTCCTCCCAGCGAAAACTGCACTAATACCTATTTCAGAACTATAGACACAGAAAAGTATCTTAGAAACGCAAAAAAAACCCAAAACCAAAAAACCAAACCACAACACCTATACCCATATGAATGGATAAAAAGAGCTTTGATCTAACATAAAAACTTTAGCAAGAGCATGTTAGAATGTCCACGCTTTGGCAAGCTGACTCTAAGCAAAGTCACCTTTCACTTTGTTCAGCAAGCTACCACATGCTGTAAGTGTCTGAAAAACAGACTAGGAGTTTGATGTGCCAGGTCTGTAAAGGATGACCAGGAGATACTGATTTTATACATCTGGGAACTCTCGATATTGAAAAACGATTGGAAAACCTTTTCTTGATATTGAAAAACCAAATGCTTGCCATTGAAAGTGTGTTATAAACTACAAAATTACACAAATTGTGACCTCACTATCCCAGAGTCACCTTCCAGAAAGCTTAAAGCACCCAACATTTCAAACAAAACAAAATAAAACCACTGAAACCAAACCATGACCAAACCCACCATTCCAGAATAGTCTTTACTGAATACAAAAGACAACACAAGGAAAGAAGACGGAGTGACAGTGGTTTAGGTTATAGATGGTTTCACAATGCTCTTCACAGATTTGCCCCAAGAGTTCCACCATCAGTCACTTCTGGACCTCAAAGAGGAGATCCAAAGGGAATGATTTCAGAAGTGTTTATTCCAGATGAACTTCAACAAAATCTCATAAAGCACAAACAAATGGCATTTAAAAAGTGATGGCATCAGCACTAATTCCAAGGAGGCTTGTTTTCCTCAGGGTTTGAGTCTTGTGATTGACTGAGGGCGGCAGTTGAATTTTATTTCTCATGGTTAAAGCATTTGTAAACACATTTGCTGCCATGTCGATTCTCTTTAGCTTAGTAATATATGAGCCCATGAATGCCTCTCTTAGGCTTTTCTGTCTTCACCTAGCAGGGCATATTTTCAACATTGGAGCATCTGGGGTTTTTTCCTCTAGAACTTAGCCAACTATTAAGTTCATTTAAATATGGAGAATTACACATCACTAGTGAGGTTGGGGAGAGAGGAAAGAAACAATGTATGTGCCAAGCAACTGCAAAAGCCCCGGTCCTCTAGTGACCTGACTACAAAGAAAGATGATAAAAATCTTTAATAACAGAAGCATCAGTTAATCTAAGTGTGGACACAAGATAGTCTTAAACATGATATGGTATTGTTTAAAGTTATTAGATCTACCTACAGTTTTTTGAAAGGTCATTAAAAATCACTGACTTGGTATGATTTCCTTCTTAAGATGAACACTCACCATGTTTATCACATGAAGCCTGGCATGTTTAAAGTGTACATATGAATACATGCAGGAGAAATCCCATGTGCTGACTGGTAGAGGATATAATGATTTGGATGAAACTTACAAAGCAACAGTTTATTTCAGTTGATTAAACTGCCCCGAATTCACCGACAAAGAAAATTACAGAAAACATCCAGTCCCCAAGAACACCACAATAAAACTGCTGCAACATGAAGTTGTACTTTGGGACTCAGAAAATCCGAAGTCTCTGATTATCTTAAATTCGTCATTCCACAGCTTTTCCCCAGATAAAAACTCCAAGCAAATCATCAAATACAAAGTAGCTATGGGGATTACCACCCCACCATGTCATCTGTTCTGAGCAGAGCATTCACATCGCATCTATTCATGAAAATCAACATGAAAGAGTTCCAGTTAAGAATTACGAATGTTTTAAGACATTAATATAAATAGGTCACTTGTAACTTTATGATAATGGAATTAGAACACAACAATATCAATAAACAGAGATTTTTTTTATATAAAAGTGTTGTTTATTGTAAGGAAACTTTAAATATAACCAACAATATTGAAAATATGATGACTGGCATTTATGGCCTTGATTGTAGTTTGCTGCCATACAAGTAATTCCTAGCATTTTTCTTAATCACATCAAGCTAGTGCAAAATGTAGGTAGCTTTTAGAGATTAAGCATACAGAATGACAAAAGTGTAGATTTTGGTTACCTGATATTTCCTTCTAGTATAACAGGCTTCTCTTTTTTCCTTAAATCAAAAGTACAAAGGCAATTTATCATATGTGCAATTATTCATACCAGGTTTCTAGGTAAAAAAAAAAATTACATTTGCAAATTTTGCTCAAATGGCATTTTTTAGGAATCTGACTTATAATTTATACCATACTGTATGATATAAATTATATATTGTTATTATATAATCATAATTTCATATACAGGTATGATTATATAAATTGTCAGAACATATCACTAACTATAGGATAATAATTACATCGACATACACAAATATATGGCATTAGAAAAGTCATTATCTAAGAAGGAAAGATGTTAACAATTCAGGTGTTTGAAACAGGGCAGAAGCAGCCTTCCTACAATTCTTGTAGTATCATTTTGGCAGAACTACTGCCAGTCGCCATTATGTGCACTAGCTTTCCATGAACATCAACAGACAGGTCAGTAAGCAATATTAAAACTGGACTGTGCCTGAAATTTCCAGTCACAGACCCTTGTAAGCAATGAGCCCTGTGCTCAGAATTAAGATGATATTCTCTCTCCTCAGTCTCAGAAGGTATCCCATGCTATTATGGCTAAAAAGATATTTTATGATGACCTACAGGTTTCTGAAAACAGGACATATTAGCTTTAACGATGACATATTTTACAGACTTGTGCAAACTTTTGAAGTATTGATCCTTCAAATAAAAAATATTTTTGTAGTTCCTGATGAGGATTTTTCAAGGACAAGCTTAGCTTAGCATGGCTTTCGATATCAATCACTTCAGTAATTGAATCTGGTCTTTGATAGCTAAGATTAGACTGCAAGAAGAGAGACATACAGAGATCATTTCATTTGAAATAGGTAAAAGATTTAACAGATAAAAAAGGTGAGATCTAAAAAAATCTGGAGAACAAGCATGGATAGCGAAGACAAAATGCATAAATATAAAACAAGGGAGAAGAAAAACAGCATAGGGTTATATATGATTGGGTAGAACATGACAACGACCTATGCCTTTGCTTTCAAAGCATGAAGGTTAATTTGTCAGCTGTCCTCACTCATGTACAGAATACATGTAACTAATAAAAAAAATGCAGTTTATTGCAAAAATATACAAGTCCTCTAAATTGCATAAGATATTACAATGTCGTGCTGAAACGTGACATATTAAACAAAGAGGACTTTAAAACAAATTACAAAATGTTAAAAATCAGATTTGGGTCATGAGCGTTACACGGAATGCATTGTCATGCTTTATCTTACGATTAGTCTTGTGATTCACTACATCTGTGATAAATGCAACATAAAATCATGACAACTGTAATAGTCAGAAAGTAATATCTACTGTATATCTTCTGTATTAATACATATAAACACTTTGTGTGCACTAATACTTTCAACATATCACATTCAAACTAACAGTCTTCCCAGAAAAGTTGTAACCTTTTTGAAGAACAGAAGATGGTTTAACAAGTTCATTGCATGTGGGGTTATTTTTATTTTTTGATATCTACTCTAAGGAAATGCTGTGTTAAAGGACTTGATTTTCAAAGGTGCTCAGTTACAACAGGTCCTTTTAATGTCAGATGGAACCATCAATGCTGAGCACTTTTAAAAAATCAAGTCCACGATTTATTAAATTCCTATTCTGTTTACTAGTATTTCCACTGTAAGAAGTCAAAAAAATACCCCCAAACCCATTCTTAAAATCACAGAAAATGCTTGGCATCTATAGGAAGAAAGACAATTTCTCAGTGGACTAACCACTACTGTGCTATATTCTCATAACAGATCTTGTTGCTGCAATGTTTAGTTCATGCACTGGTATCGGCAATGTCCATGTTTGTTCCAAAGAGAGCAACTAGCTGCTCTTCGTAGTTTGCAATGTTTCTTTTCAGAATTTCCATACAAGGTCCCAAAAGCCTTTCAAATGCCTGCACATCCATAACTAATATAGAAGGGGAGAGAAAGAGAAAAAATATACGTGCTTGTCAGTTGCAGACACTAATTTTGGTGTTTATGACATTCCAATGTAAGACTTTAAATGAAAGGACAGATACTGCTGAGGTATATACTTTATTTGCACAGAAGAGAACCACTTACCGTAGCAAACCCAAGACCAACCAACACATTGCTGCCTTGAAACTTCATAAATAAACATAGAATTTGCTGTGTTTCTTATTTTGAAAATATTAATGTATTAAGATTTATGTCACCCAAGAGCTGCTGAAGAAGTCTGGAGGGGCCTGGATTTCTCCCAAGAATACAGTTTTAAGACCCGTGAGATTTACAGAAAATACATCTTTTGCTGATTTTGTTGGCTGTATTTGGGGGCTAACTTGGCATATTTCCTTGCTATTTTTACTTGCTTCCACCCACAGTGGAAACTGTAATGGATACTGATTTCCCAGCAAACATACAAAAAGTTGGAAACAGTAATTCATATGTAATGTCAGTGCGTAGCTGACCAGAACATTTTTTTACCCGACCACATACTGTTATCCATTATAGTTCTAGGGAACCAATAAACCAGGGAGGAAACATCATACATGAACCAGCTTCCAACCTGGTGGCTTGTAGTCTCTAGGCTCCTGAAAAGAGTTCAAGTTCTCTGCTATTTGGGAAGTGCCAGAGATCTTTGTGCCTCACTCATACTGAGTAATGACACTCTACACCACTGCCTCTTAGTCTTCCCCCTCTATCCTCTTTGATCTTTATTGTCTGATCACCTCTGTGTGTTTGGAGATAATAATACCTCTATAAGTGAGAAACTTCTGGTTAGTGGCTTGGTAAAGTCATTCAAGAATGCCAAATCTGTCTTTGCAGTTGACATTTTTCCCATAATTAGATACAAATATTTAGGAGGTAAACATCAGACCATAAAAAGCAATGGATGTGAAGGGTTACCTATGAGCATATCTATCTTTGGTCATTGCCTTCCCTATGCCTGAGACTACAATATGATTAAATTAACAGCTTATGAAGACAAAGAATTTGCTAAAGCTTAAGTCATGGTAATAAAACAGGACAGGATTTTTACCACAGTTATTTCTTGGATGAGAGTCAGTCTACAGAGAAAAGAAATAATTTACCTTTCTGCAGGGTATTAGACATTTATCTAATAACTATAAATGGTTTGCAGCAATACTGTCCAGAAACAATTTTTACTTCCATGCAATCAGAGAAATGTTGGAGAATTTGTGTTTAATACCAGTTATCATTAAAAAATAACTTTTGCAGATTAAATATGTAAATAGGAATGCACAGTAATAAATGATAAACAGTCTTATTTGGGTAAAGGTAATTAAATCTTATATTCTGGAGAAAGAGTTCACAATAAAAACAACCAGGTAGATTATGTATCATTTCATAGATACAAAATATCTATATAGATTTCATAGATATAAAATATTATTGAACAATACCTAAACATTTGACAGTGCCAAGAGCAAATGCAGAGGCGGCTCGTGGTTTGTTAGTTACGAGAGCAAGTTCTCCAAAATACTGTCCTCTTGAGCATCGAGCTATTTCAACTGCTCCATTCTCTTCTACATCTTGTTTATCCTGAAATATCAGGTAAGAAAAGAGAAAGGAAGATAGAGAATGAGACACATTTGCTGAACTCAGGACTGCGTAAGAAAAATCAGTACCAATGGTGGCATTACTGTTTCACACTCGGAATACATCAAGATTCAAGAAATTTTGTGGTTTAGGGATGTTTACCTTCCTTGACATTATAATCCTTACTTCTCCAGATTCCACAATGAAGAAGGAATCAGCCAAGTCACCCTGTAGAAGAAAAAAAATAAACTGAGTAAAGGAAATGTGAAATTTCTTTTTTAGTTTCATGCTAACATTTAAATAATTGCAGCCACATGCCTTGAAGCTCATCTTTTTGATGCTTTGATACCTGTTGCAAAAGAAAGAACTTTTAATATGAAAGCCACACTCTAGGCACATAATAACCAAGACATCTTAACAGAATTGACAGCAAAGCCTTTTCATGAGAAGACATAGCTGATTGTGCCATATAGAAAAAAAAAAACAATGGACAAAAACAATGTTATGGAAGATTTTTGGATCCTTACTTTTGTTTCCCCACCTTTGTATCCCTTCCAAACTATTTCCCTTCCAGAGCTTCCACTATCGTAATCCTCCAAAGGCTATCTGATACCCAATAATTATTTTGGGGCAAGACAATCCCAGTTGCCCACCCAGAAGAGTTCACTTCTGCATTCTCCTTCAAAAGATTATCATATCTTAAGAACAGAACAAGGTAAGTCTTCAGTGCTTCTACTGGGGGCATGGTTTAGTGGTGGACTTGGCAGTGGTGGGTTAATGGTTGGACTCAATGATCTCAAAAGGTCTTTTCCAACCTAAAAAATTCTATGGTTCTATTGGAAGCAATCATTCTTCTATATAGTTGGAATTTCCTCTCTTAGATACAAGATTATTTTGATTTTGTTTTGGCTGAAAAAATAAAACATAGTTTAAAAGTATGTATTGTCTATAGATAATGTGTTAATTGTTACCTATTGGAATAGAAAAACTAAAACTAAACTGTACCTGAGCAATGATTTGTTCTCCATCTTTGTACACTTTGGTGCCAATCACATCAACCACTTTTAAACGCTCAGATACCTTCATTTCAAAACAGAAAATGTACTTGGTTAACATTACAGTATTATACTTAGAAAGCCCTTTCTTTTCATGAATCTTTGCACAGAATAATGTATCTTTATTTTCCTGGTTTGATAATCATTAAAAAAGGATGAACTGCTGAACAGTGATACAGAGGGTATATTATAGTCTTAACAGCTAGATGTTTTGATAGAGCTTCTATTTTTGTAAGAAGTCTATATATAGCAAGTCTTCAAAAATTGTTTTCAGAAAAGCATGCAGGTAAAAATATAGCTGTTAAATGAAAATATTTTGTAATTCCCTAAGTCATTGTGTAATTTTATTGGCCAATATCTAGTAAAATTAAGCTGAAGAAAAAGAAGGTAAAGGTAAAAATATATATATACATTTTTTAAAATACAATATTAACAATAGCTCTTTATCCTGAAAAATTAGAAACATCAGAAATATGGTATCTCGCCAAAACAAACGCATTCAAAATTTTATTGTGGAGAAAAACTGAATTCCAAATTCAAATTTTGCAAAAGCAGAATCTTATCAGGTACCTCTGATACAACCGTTAAAATAACACAACAGAAATCTTACTTCTAAAGATTTAAGAAATGGCAATGACTGAATAAAATTTTCATACATTCTTCTCTTTTTGGCATTATTTTTTACAATGATTCTTCGGAACGTTACCCTGTCCTGTAAACATAAAGAGGAAAGGAGAGTTTATTAACAGAAAATACATGCATGGTAGAAAATACTTTAGAAACGGACGAATATGTTCAAATCACCCAATTTTAGTCAGTGTAGCCATCAAACTAGCTGGCTAGTCTCCCTAACAAGTCAGTTGAGAAAGATTCCTCTAGAGGTCAATCAAGAGCTCCTAAAGTTAAGCTCCTGATCTGATTCACATTGAGAAAAGCTCTGCCCTTTGGCAGAGAATACATACAGTTTACATACAGAGGGTAGAGAGTTTACCTTCAAAGAGGTTGAGTGGGTAATTTAAGACATTTAAGAAAGCCTCAATATTTAAATATTTCAATTACAAAGCTTATTCATTACCCTGAGGTCCCACACATATTGATACATACTCCAAGAGATTTTTATATTCTTATACAAACAAAACCAAAATACACTGGGTCTTAGGTCACAGTCCACTTTCTGCTGTTTCAGAACAAGATTCATTGCTGCCCTAAGCAGCCAACTGGACATTCCTTAGTATTTGGCAATCCCAGTGAAGCAGACATGGAAAAAATACATGTATGCTGTTTTCTTCTCTTAATTTCATAAGACTCTGTCCTGGCCACAGAAAGAGGTGAAATGGTTTGCAAACCTTCACTGCTACAGGTGGGACTTGCTGGCCAATAGAACCCAACACAGTTTAAAGCCTTTCTTACAGTGTCCTAAACCCTGCCACGATCCCAAAACTCATGTGGATTAAAGTGGTGAAAACCCACATGCTTTGCTTCAACAGAAAAATGTTATATTGGGATCCATCATTACATTGATATGCACATTTTGAAGAAGATGGCTACCCCAGTTTCACTCTTCTGGTAAATTCTGTTACTGTTGTCAAAGATCCAGACAGTGTAACACTGATAAATAACCTCGTATTTGAATTGTACTCTGGAACCAAAGGCATTTCCCATCAAGATATGAGAAAACATTTTATATGTTTGTCTAGGCAATTTTCAAGTGGTTTGCAATTTGGGAAATCATCATTAAAACAGAATAACACAAACTATTATTTTTTTCAACTCTGTTTTCTTAAGCCTTGGGTTTGCTTCTGCCGATTCTGCAAAAAGACAATATTGTGTTGGGAGTTCTCAGAATTTTCAAAATTAAACTTTCTGAAACAGTAATTCTTTCTATGCTGATACAACAGACCAGTGCAATTTACAGAAAACATTTTAAATAAGTATTTCACTTACCAAACCCCAGATGGCACCAGGAGAGGTAGCTATAATTGTAGCTGCTCTGGGTGTATTGTACATTAAGGCCAACTCACCAAAACTTCCTCGATTATCATAGGTTCCAATACACCTCCCAACACCATCGCATTTTACATAAATATCATATGTACCTCTGTTAATAAAATATATAAATACAGTGAGTAGAATTCAGTCTGGTCTTTGCTAAGCAGCCTCTCACTATGTTTTTTTTGTACCATGAATTCAAAAGATAAAGTGTTTGAAATATACACTCACTTGTTTAAATGATATTAAATACCTTGCAGAGACATGTCAATCACTTCCATAAATAATAAAAGTAGTTCCTTTTTAAAGGGAAAGGATAGGGTTACTAGTTTTTACATTAACTCAGTTTAAAGATAGACTTATCTATCGATTGCTGGAACTTACTAAAAATTAAGATCTAACTTAGTATCTGTCTCTTAATTTAAATTTAAGCACACTAAATGCAAATGTAACAAGTCTTTGTGCAAATTGCTATGGCATGGTCACTGAAATAATAATATAAGTCTTTTGACATTCAAAATATTTTGAAGTAGTAATTTATAATGTAACAAATAGAGGAGATGCAGGAAACAGAAGGAATGGATATGAAAAGCTGTTTAAGATTATGAAATAAAGACATGTATTTATCCAACATATTTTGGATTATTTCTACCCAGCACTAGAAACTTTTTTTTTGCTTTGGGAATGCAGTAAAATCTGGTACCCTGTAAAACATGACATAGCCATCCCCGTTAATGCTGACTTATCATTTTGTTCAGCACTGAGTATTTGTATGGTACATGTTGATAAATCATATGAATGCAGTGCAAAAATCTGTACAATGATGTCACTGATAAGGGACTTAGAGGTGATTCACTGCATCTACAAACTGCAAGGCTGACAGAACACTGTGAAGTCCCTTCAGCTTTTTGGATAAGAGAAGACAAACTGTAACCTCATGAAGCTGAAAAACACAGACTCTTAAGCAAAGAATCCTGACACACTTCTATGATGTTCTGATTGAGTATTTCAGTGGGAAGGGATCTATGATGATCGTCTAGTCCAACTGCCTGACCTCTTCAGGGTTGAACAAAAGTTAAATGTTATTAAGGGCACTGTCCAAATGCCTCTTAAACACTGACAGGCTTAGGGCATCGACCACCTATCTAGGAAGCCTGTTCCTGTGTTTGGCCACACTTTCAGTAAAGAAATCTTCCTGATGTCCAAACTGAACCTCCCCTTGTGCAGCTTTGAACCATTCCCATGCATCCTATCACTGGATACCAGGGAGAAGAGCTCAGCACCTCCCTCTCCACCTCATCAGGAAGCTGTAGAGAGCATTGAGGTTACCCCTCAGCTTCCTTTTCTCTGAACTAAAGGAAGACAAAAGTCCTCAGCTGCTCCTCATGGGACATGCCTTCCAGCCCTTTCACAAGCTTTGTTGCCCTCCTTTGGACACATATGAGTAACTTAACATCATTCTCAAACTGTGAAGCCCAGAACTGCACAGAGTACACAAAGCAAAGCTGCACCAATGTTAAATACAGCGGGATAATCACTTCTTTTGGCCAGTTGGCTATTCTGATCTACACTGACCAAAAACTTTTGCATTTCTTTAGAGTTCTAGCATAATAATAATTTCAAACTCTCTCAGAAATCACTGTGTCAGCCTAAAAGTAAAGGTAGAAATAAGAAAAAGTGTTTGGGGACAGCCTGGCGAGCCTGTGCCAACAGACTAGTGAAGGATTCCAAAGTAAACACTCTTCCTAACCCACTGGATTCAGCAATAATCAATAGGTAGGATTTTACTTAGTTACCTGCTTTTTCTGATACAGATTTCCAAATGAAGTGTAATGACTTGGCTACTGGAGGTCTAATAACATTCATGTAAACACTACTTTTTGGATATATTATTGAAATGCAGTAACATTTCAGATACTGAGCTGTAAAACTTTTACCATTGTGTTTTGCATTATATATCTTTCCATGTAAATAAAGGTAAATAAAATGTAAATAAAATGAAACCACCCTTTGGGAAGACGTCAGGGACATATTTCCATATGAAACTTCTGTTTCCTTTCAAAACCTGCTCTCTGTAGCTTAGAGAGCTGCACTGGTTCACGTGTGTGCTTTTCTCCCACACAAACATACATAAAAGTCAAACACAAGTACAGAAACAGATCTTTCTCAGTGGACTTTTGCATAATACTTTGTGCTATAATAAGACACAGCGATTCACCTATCGATGACGTAGAAGTTGTCACCATCGTCCCCTTGATCAATGACATGTTCCCCTCCTTCAACCAGCTTTTCAAACATCGCATCTAACACCTGAGACATCTGTTCCTATTTAAAAGAACACAGGTAAAGACAAGAAATTAGCATCTGCTTTTAAAATTTTAATCTTCAAATTAACTAATTGACCAGCCTCCCAATATGCAGATAAAAAATGTTCACACATGGAAAACATTCATGCTACAGAAATGCGTGGATCAATTGGAAAGAGAGTTTTAATTAGTATTCAGTGTTAGCTTTCTCCTCTTCCAGAGCCCAGCTTCCCTTCCTGTCCCTGCCAATGATAACATAGGTCTTGTCTGCAATATAGTTAGTTCATGAGCATCCAAGGACAGAATCTCACCCTTCACAATTGTTTAACATACACAGTTAAAAGAAAAAACTATATCCCCTATTGCAAGCAACACACTTACCTGTTCTTGTCTTTAGAACTATTGAACAGAATTTAGATTTTTAAAATTATTGTAAAATATTTTGAAAATCTAAATTATACAATGCCTGCACAATGGTGGGATAAATGTAACCATAAAGCTCTGCAGTGCTTTGGTTGAGTAAGTAAATGATGGGCTTATAGGGAAGTATGATTTTATGCACATGGCTTTAAATTACTTTGTTAATTTGAATGGAATACAAATGTTTAGAGACAAATGTTAACAGACCAACAAAATGTCATCATTTGAATTATGACTGTCTAATAACAAAAACAAATCACTAATTACATAATTTGTCTTGTTTGGTGTAAATCTGCTAAAACTTAACTGCTCACATCTAAAAGAACTCAAAACACAGCTCACTGTGGGTTATATGAATTATTATTAGGGTTATATGAATCCTAAAAGGATAACAATTTAAATTTTATATTCAGTTTATTCAGCAATATGCCTAAAATTCTGGCAATAAACAAAAAACTATCCTCTACTTTTTGGAGCTTTCTAAGTATATATCATATAGGACCAAGCAAGTTCTAGTGAAAGACATTGTAAAGAAAAGCCTGTGATTTAGATCTCTACTTTACAATGGTTCGGTTCTAGCATTTCCAGGTACTGAAAGATGGATGGCACTTAACTTTTCAAAGACCACCGGCCTAAGCCAGTCCTCTAGAGTCCTTCTGCAGTCGTTGGACAGAGATATCCATACTAGATAGCTCGGAATCATTCTCTAGAGATTCCACTTTCGTTCCTCTGATGATAGAGAAATCTACTGTAACTGACAGATCTATCTAACTGTGAGTTTATCTTAATTTAATTAGTTTATCTTAATTTTTAGACAGATAGATAAACTTAGGCTCAATTAATTCCACCATTATTCTGTTGAGGTTCTTCAGTCACTCAAAGCTTTTCAGAATATAAGCAGTACCATGTTATCCAAGCCTTTTTTAAAAATGAAAGCTAAATACAATTTTACTTCACAGATTTCGTTGTATGTGGGCACAAAGAACAACAGAATGACAGCATCCATCCTCAGCATCATGTAAAATACAGTAAGACATTACACAGCCTACCCAGACCAGCAACGAATCATTTAACTATGCCTCTATTTAGTACCTTTTTTAGTATAGAAAGGTCATGTATTTGCAAAAACAAGAATCATTTTACTACCAGTGAATGGGTTATATTCTATTTCAGAGAAAAGTCTGTGTGTGCGTCATTGGGAGAGATTGCAAAGTAGGTACTGGAGTTGCCTTTTAAAAACTTTCATGCTTAAATTAATAGGTAATATTACTTCACTATCCCTATGGAAACTAAAAGGAACTCCTACAGAATCTGCAAAATGGACTAAATGACAGTTAGTTGTCTAAAGCATTTGAAGCAGCACATTTTCTTTCCCTTGCTTTACATCTGAACTGGCAAAGTGGCTCCTCAACCAACAGCCCTTGGCTGCCATTTGAAAACAAGTCGTAACATGCAGAATGCTCTACATTTTAAGGGAGGTTAGAGGGTATATGTTATCCTCTAAATGCAAGCAGTGCAAGAAAAATGTACCATATGGTCCCTGATCCTTGGAAATTAAAATATTCCCAAGGCATCTTGGAAAAAAAGATTGAACTAACAAGATGGCTATTTGCTGTATTGAAGGAATAATACGTATAGTTGTAATCTTCATTCATTATGCTTCATCTCAATTTCAGGTTAAAACATTTTCAATCACTTAACTGCAAATCAAGCTCACCAAACCACAACTTCTCTGATAGGTAAATCCATGACTCTTTTAGACAACAGAGTATAATTCACAAATGTAATTCCCTTTAAAAAAAAAAAAATCTTTTAAACACTTGAAGATATTTAATACATTTGAGAGCTGTCTATTATCTGCTGAAGTAGCATACGGATCTTAACTTTCTCAGTAAATTGCAGCTAATGTAAAAACAATCAGTCCGTTTCCCAAAGCTTTCTACATAAAATTAAGATAGAGCAGACTGTAATAACCAAACCTGACACGTGTTTTTTGCTTTTACCATAAGAATTACAAAATTTTCTTGCCCAGCTTGCTCTACATGAGTCCTCTTGATTCTCTGCCAGACTGAGACTCAATTTACTGGCACCCTTCATAGTTACTTTGAAAGGATAAAGATGGGTAATTTTAGAATTAAAAAGAAGATCTGTTATCATACATAGAAATAATTCTGATATTTTGTAAAATGGTGCAGTCTGAAAGCTTTTCCTCCTTAAAGCAGTTCTAGCTTGAAAAAATACATATAACATAAAACAGACGAGGGGGTTTTTTTATATTGTTTGTAAATTGGCTATGTGTAATGTCATGGCAATCTGACACTCAATATTCTAAAGAATGCTATTTAAAATATGATAAACGTTTTCACAGAAATAAGATTTATAGATCTGAAGTATTAAACGTGTGTTGTGCAATTGTTATGGCTTCTGCTAAACTTTAGTTATCTTAATACATTTTTTTCAAATATAATAAAGCATCTATTTTTCTTAAGGATAATGCACTTCACAAACATCAAGAACCAAAACTAAAGTTTAAATTATTTGAAATTTTATTCTTTTTATCATGTTTATTTACATACTCTGATTACTATACTCAATGATCATTTTTTTTTTCAATTCTAAACTGCAAAGTATGTAAATACTTCAATAAAAGAACATTTTTGAGAAAAGGAAACCTTTGATTGTTGTCATGAAAGCATGCTTTGATCACCATCCTTTGTGACAGAGAAAAGAGAGGAGGCCGAATGGGAAATCAGATTTTCTGAAAGACACATTCACAATACAAACTAAAGCCATCTATATCAAGATTTTCTTTTTAATAAATACATATCCTTTATTTGAAGTGTAGTTACTGCATTTCTCTCAGAAAGTCTTGCTACCAATTAGACTTTAATGACAGAGCGTGATTTCACAAAATAGTTTGCTAGAGAAATGAATAAACATGACATAGTTACAGCCATCATTATTGTCTCAATCAGCCTCTCTTTCAAGTGTGGATGTAACTGCTGGGAAGCCAGAGTGCAAAGGAGGATTAGCTCCCTTATCAGTATCAGCCAGCACGATATAATACCCTTTTGTATCAGCTAAAGCAGGGATGATACAGTTTTCTTTCCTCTCTTACTTAGACCAAGATGGTATCTACCCTAGTTTTATACCAATTTAAATAAACTGTGCTAGTAAAGTTCTACTGTGTATTTAGATCAGTCAGAATCAGAGACTACAATTAGAAGTACAAACTGAACAGGACCGTGGGATGGTCTCAAGCACTGACATGATATAGTCTGGGCTGGTTTGCTATTGGTGCAACTGTCAGCACAGCTGGTAGAGTTTTGGCTTTGCCAACTATCACTCCTCCTGACAAGCCCTTCTCATGGCTTGGAGGAATGCCTGAGCCAGGGCTTCCTCCCAGAAAAAGTAAAACCACCGTGGTTAATTGCTTGGTTTGGTGGGGTTAGGAGGAGAGGAGGGTGCAAGGGAGTTTAGTTTTATTTATGTATGTATGTCATACTGCACTGCATGGCCTCAGGGACAGAGAACGTCCTCTGATCTAGTTTGCTGTTACCAATTACTGAACTGAATAAAGGTGACAAGAATGGAAAATGTCAAAATAATCTACTGAAGTCAGTCAAACTCTGCCTTTGGGCATCCTTCTTAATTTCCAGACAAACAAAATCTGTATTTCTAGTCAATCAGATGACATTTTCCCTGTAATTAAAGTCTTCAAAATACTGAGGAATAAGGAAACATTTAATATGAAGGGCATGTGACTATGACTGATAACTAGTAAAAACAAACCAGTTAGCAGGTAGGTATTCTTAGTCACAAAGATAGGTATTATTTAGTCTGTGAATTCACAGTTCTTCTATTGCCCCTGAGTTCATAAACCACTCAATTAATGCTCATTATGATATTAAGACAGTAATGAATACTAGAGTATGAAATAGGGGAAAAAGAAAAAAAGGTGCGACAGAAACAGGTCACAAAACATAGGGAAGGACGCCATGGGAAGAAAAGGAGTTCTTAACCAACAAGTCCGGACCTTGGAGAGGAAAAGTAAATCACAGAATTCATGTCTACAGGTCTCTGCATTTGCTTTTTAGGAAAAAAACATGTACATATGCTCCCCTGAAACTCTGATATGAATGTCAGCAGCACCATTGATCCAATTCAAATGTTTAGATCTCTTGTGTAATATCCACTTGTAAACTAATCAAAAGGCATTTAATTCTTCATATCAAATAATCTTATTTGTATTTCAATGTATAATCAATATTTTCAAGCAATAATATTTTCCTTGAGAATATACCTTAACCTTCCTTCACACAGTTCTATGTTACATTAGTGTTCTGCCTCTCCAGTATCATGCACATGCCCATCAGTCTGGCTCAGTGACACTTCTTGTATTTTGTAACTAAGCCCTCTGAGCAAGTTGGCTGATTCTTTCTGCCACTTGGCTAAAAAAGAGCAGAAATAATTCAGAGTTGCAACAAGTTTCTAGAATTCTTCAGCCAAAGATGAAGGCGCCATAAACTGGGCAGTCCTTTTGCAGAACGTCTTCAATAACTTATTATAGAATCATTGAATCATTCAGGTTGAAAAAGACCCTTAAGATCATTGAGTCCAATCATTAACCTAGTATGGCCAAGTCCACCACTAAACCATGTCCCTAAGCAGTGATAAATATATATATAAATGCTACTGCGGGCATGACTAATCCACAGTCCACACATTTGTTCTGAATGATGAAGCCCAAGACTTTTATTTTGTCACTTTGATCCTAATGGCACCTTACACAAAGATGAAGAATGAGATGAAGAATAAATTGTTCTGACAAACTTGCTTCCAGATCTCCCCTTTTATGAGGGCTGCGCAGAACCTCCCTCATCTTATCCGAATGTGGGCCAAAACACAGGCACCCATCATATGCCAGGCAGAGGCGTGAGCCCTGTGCGTTCAGACAGGGAGAGCTGAGAACACCCATCTCAGCGTGACAAGGGCAGAGCCAACTCGGGCAGGAAGGGCAGCAGCCAGTCACAGCAACCCCATGGGGACAGCCCAGTAACGTGACCTGTGTGTGGCGAAGTGTGCATGTGGCTCAGTGCCTACTCCTGCTGTCACACTCTTTTTGGTACAACAGGCAAAGTGGAGAGAATCCCCGTCTGACAGATCTGATGTAAGTATCCATTTTGCCTTAGGGAAAAACAGAGGGTTATGTGCAGATCTATTTTTTTGGGAATCCATTAGTTTGCAAAGAGCTTTGTGCCACTGAAGAGGGCAGAGTATTTGTTCAGGCATTCTGGGCTAACTCATATATAGATCTATCCATGTATTTCCATTTATTGCTCCAACACCTGTAGTCCTAATTCTTGACCAGTATTTTCAAGAACATAAGAGCATTATAGAATCTTCGGTTAGCAGCACTTTTCAAGGAATGCTTTGGCCTTGAGTATGAGTCCACTATTCATAAAATACATTTGCATTATGCTTTCTTTCATCTTCCAGTTAATCAGCTAGAATTGATTAATCAACATTTGTTCACTTTTATAATAATTCTCCAGATGCATGAGTGGCAATATGCCCAGAAATTGCTCTTGCATATTTGTGAAGAATATGTATAATTTATTACCTTTTAAACAAAGGTTCAAGACCTATCTGAAACATTCTGTAACGCATTAGCAGGGGAAAGGTCTCCAAAATAACATTTCCCTGAAAAAGAACAGATGATCTTATACTGCTTCTGAATTTTTGCAGGAAATAAGGATTCAAACTTTAAGTGCAAGGGTCTGACACAGCTTTGATGCTACCGGTCCCTTGAGCCACCCTGTTATTCTGATAATAGATTCATCAGTTTTTTTAACTGCTGGTCATAACAGCCAAACCAAATAGCCTGTTGTTAATCAGTCCCAGCATAAGTTTCCTCTTAAAAGACAAAACCAAAAGCATAACTTCTCTAAACTGCATTGTAAAAAGGAAGAGTAGAAGGCTGTGTTGGCCACTAGATGAGATGCTGCTGCTGCTACTCCTCCCAGTGATGAAACAGTTGTTAGGCTGAACAAAGACAAATTCCAGTAAGAGACTTGGGGCTTATCCTCAGTAATGGCCCTAGGCATCTGGTCATCATCTTGTTTTCTCCTTGCTGGCTTATACAAAGTGAAATTGGAGGGGAAAGAGGACATGCAGCTTACTGCCAGTAAACTCCAACATCCGGAGTGTGAAATGGTATCATGCTTTGTGCATGCATGTAAAGCAAGCAGCTTGGCACACCACATCAATCCTGCTTCTGGTTTAATGATACCCTTATCTTATCCTTCCATTCAAATTAAACCACAGTGTGTTAGGGTGAGATAAAGTTTTAAGAAAATGCAGACTCTATTTAACATCACGTACTGAAGGCAATTAAGACATGTTGTTATACTGTATTTAAGAGTAGTGTCCTATCTAGGAATGGCCTTTGCTAAAAGGCCATCATGGTAAAGCCATTAAGCACTTTACATTGTCTCTTCCCCTTTAACTCACTGACTTCTGAAATAATGTTTTCCATACACAGAACTATAGCAGAAAGTGGGAGATGGTACCAATACACAGCTTGACTTTTGTTCCACAGACTTTTAGCAGCTGAAGATACTATCTCTCTCCAAGATCAAGGACTTTTTTTGCTAATACACCAGACAGCAAACTGCAGCAGCCGGCACCACATGCGCTTGTGCTACAGGGTGGATAGGCAAAGGTGAGGAAGAAAGCTGGGATAGGAACATTTAAATTACTGCAACTACACTGGCAGAGCTCAAGTCACTGCCTAGCAGCAGAACAAGAAGGAGGAGTGGGAGAATTCCCCTGGGGAACTACAGATCTTGGTTCCACAGGACGAGCAAGCCAGACTGAAGAAGGCTACCTTTTAATACTCTTGCTATCTTCAGAGCTCAGTAGCTTTCCAATGCCTTTTACGAGCAACACTATTATAACAAAAAACTAGGAGCAGATTTCAAGGCATTGGTTTGCAGAGCTACACAAGGGGAGGACTGAGCTAAGAAGTCTTCTGCTGACCACCTGTAACAGACTATGGGAACTGTCAGCAATTACAAGTAACTGATTGAGAAGCAAAATCAAAAAAAGAAGTTCAAAACATCAAGGGGATATAGTATCGAGACAGCAGCACAGTCCTGAGAAGACGTCCACTAACAGGGGAAGTAAACCCTCAGTACTACTTGAAAGAGTTATAGAATCGTAGAATAGTTTGGGTTGGAAAGGATCCCAGGATCATCTAGTGCCATGGGCAGGGACACCTCGCACTAAACCACTAAACCTCGCACGTCACCCAAGACTCCACCCAACCTGGCTTTGAACACTGCCAGGGATGGAGCATTCACAACTTCCTTGGGCAACCTATTCCAGTGCCTCACCACCCCTCACAGTAAAGAAGTTCTTCCTTGTATCTAACCTGAACTTCCCCTGTTTGAGTTTGAACCACCCTGGAACAGTTGAATGCTCTATGTCTACACAAGATTACAAAGCAAATAGATCCCTGTCCTGCAGACCAAGTGGCTGGTGACTATTCAGACAGAAGATTAAGTTCTCACTGGAAGGAAAAGCAGATCACATCCAGATGATTGATACTGTAAGAAGATATTACCAAGAAACCGTGTAAAGCAAGAATCAGGAAAGCAGCATCTCAAAATTAACATCACAGCAGACTCCGGAAACACATAGCATTTAGATCCATTGGGTCACAGGGCTCATAAGAGAGAAATGGTCAGAGGCTCACCAAGAGGGGTCTGCCAAAATGCCATCAGCAGGCTAATGTAAAGATGGTCCAGAGAAGCCAGGACACAGCAACAATAAGGCAAATATACAATAAAGCAATTTCATATCCAGGGCAGATGCTCATAAACCATTTTGTATCCCTGAAATTACGTAGAAAAATAATTAGGGAATGGAAGAGACAAATTTTGGGGTGACTTTAGCTTGAACAAGTATAATGGAGCAGCTAATTAGATACTCATTAAACAGACAGCATGAGGGAGGAAATCATGTGTCAGGATCCCTAGTGTCCCAAGATGCACATGCATCAGCACCTACATCGAGACTTTTGATGCCCTCCTATAGGTGTAATGGCAGGGTTCTGCAAAGCTGGGCGTCTGTGGCTCACTGTTCCTCTCTGGAAACAGGTACGCAGGGCCAGGACTCAGCCGTTGTGCAGACAAAAGCAGAAGCTGGAAACCTGCAGCATGAATTAACTTGCCTTCTCTGTAACAGCACCTGACTTCCAAGCAGAGCTGCAGGCTGGTCATTCCATTAGCTGCCTCTTGAATCAAATTTAAGCCTTTTTGTTCTCATGCTTCAAATTCTGCATAATTATTTCCCTTTTCCCCATGCTCCCTCCCCTGACAGCACTGAATCAATTCTCTTGGGAAAGCATTTGGTGTGCTCTGAGTCATTCCAACCTCAGTATGCAGATTTTGATTGATACACTCGCCTTTTTCCTTCAACAGCCCTGTGCTTCTTTCTAGCATTATCACCTTTGTCTGATCCAGATCACTCATTCACTGCATTTTGGCTTTCTTAAAAGCCCGTAATTGTTTTCATAGGCAATAAAAGGAAATTATCTGTGGAGAAGAAAATTATCTGTAGTGGTTTTATGGTATCTGTATCAAGTGAAATAATAATGTAAACACCTCACTACTGCCTTTCTCTTATCATAACTTGGTTGTTCAATTACATCTATAGCTAAACTGTAGGCTTTGGGGATAATTTTAGGTTTTGATGGAACAGTCAGCACACTTTTGGATGATGAAAAGTAACCAGTAGAAACAACTTAAACATTCCAGTGAACTGATGAATTTATAGTCAATGTACAGCAAGAAGATTTAAAATAAGAAAATACAATACTTCACAATCATATTAATGTATACATTCATATTAACATGCTTCAAGACTATCATTCATGGTGGAGAACAAATGAGCCTATATATATATATATATGTATATATATGACATCTGTTATAAAACTGGCATTTTTTGAGTTTATGAAATGGTTAAGAAAGCATACATAAGGGCTTAGAAAAGTCAAATCGTAAACTTCTGTTCAAATGGTCACGAGAATTAATTCTTAGCAGCACTGCTAAATTTTGTCCATTACAAAGAATTTCTTACCGGATCTAGGTTCTTGAAAAGAAGGATGTCCTTGCATGCCTCCTGCAGTCTGTTTCGTTGATCATCTGTTTTAGGGTGAATAATCTGAGGGATATAATAGAAAAACCTTTAAAGTGGTTATCATGCAGCAGCACTAGCTGAAGGACTGAGCTAATTCAGCTAGACATTTTACCCAATATTCTGGCCATGCTTCATAGCAGTTTCATTTTTAAACCTTCAAGATTTAAATAAACACTCAATGATAACACTGTATCACCACAAGATTAGCAAATGAAGCACTGCTGTACTTAAGATAATAAGATCTTTACATTTGTAGAATCCAGTTCATTTCTGCAAGCCATTCTGGATACTTTAATGTCAACTACTGCTGCATAAACATTACTCTACTACTAATTATATTTGGAGCATGCATGTTTTATAAAAAGCACCACTGTTACATTTAGCCATTTCCATGACTACCTCCCAAAGACTACTTCGTGAAATAGGATCCATGTTAAATTTATATCAAGTTCACTGAGTAAACAACAGAATCGGCACTATCTGAATGACCAGAGACCTACTAAATTACCAATGTGTGGTTAATGTGAGTATCAGTCAAGTTGAACTCATGCTTCAAAAGATACACTGGGTTTCAAAGCTGTGATACTACAGGATAACCTTTTTGACAGTTTTACATGCCAGAAACTAGGTAGAATATAAACATTTAAACTTGTCCTGAAAGTCATACTTATGCTATTTCATATTAAAAGCTAAGTAAATGCCCTTAAAAAGGTAATATAAGTAAAAGAAATAAATATAGGTAGTTATTTCATTGTACATCTGCAAATCTTAGCAATTTTATAATTTACCTTTTTTTTTCTGCCTTATGAAAAGTAGTAGAATACTGAGGAAACTATTGCAAGATTATGAGGACACCAAATAAGTACTTTTAAGAGCAGGTGCTCTCTGGGCAAACAGTTGCACAAAAGTGTTTCATTAACAGACTATATATCAAAGCTGTGCTAATTTAGAATAGTACTTACATCAGGTTCTATATGGGTGACTATTCAACACAAAAACCCAAGAGATTATTAAAATATATTATAATAAGGATGCTTCTGGAAAGGAATGGTAAGGCTGGTTACATTTTTCTTCCTAAATTTAATGCCAGAGAACTGACAAAAAAGAAACATTTGACTCAAAGCATTACATACCCTTGATTCTGCGTCGTCATCTTCCTCATCAGGGTTGTAAGCTTCTGCACACACTGAAATAATAATAATAAAAATGCATACTATTAATTCAAAATGCAATAATGTTTCACAAGATTTATGGAAGAGAAAATGGCATCACCTGGCACAGCAACAATATGCAGTCATGTAACACACTCCGTAAAGAATCACAGAAGATGCTGCTGATAGGTTCCATAGCAAGTCATCTCTAAACTGCCGGTGAAACAAAGCTACACTTGTAGCTTTGTGTATTTGTTCATCATTTTGGGACATGTTTTCAGTGCTTTAAAGGACCTCTGATGTACTTACAGATTTGTCACCTAACCTATTGCAAGTGATCTTAACTTTCTATCAGATTTTTCTTTTCTGATGTCTAAACTAATAATTTCTTGCTAGAATTTAAGTTATCCATAGTGGCTGCAGAGATCAGATCATTCCTTTCATCTGTGTTAAGTTCAAGGTGGGTTGCATTATGGGGTTTTGGCTTTTTCTGTTTGGTTGATTTGCAGGTTTTTTGCAGACTCAAAAACTTTTCTTGCCTTTTACTTTCTAGGGTAACTAATTCTGGTTCTTCAATTTTTTCTTTACAAGTCATCATTTTCAGCCCTCCAACCACCCTCATTGCCATTCCCTGAACTCCCTCCAATTATTGCTATCTTTATTGAAGTGGAATGCTCAAAACTTGACCCAGTATTGAGTCTGAGTACAACAGATTAATTACTCCATACATTTTGGGGGCTCTGCGTCTTTTTCATCCATCCATACCTTTTTCACAACAGCTTGATTATGTTTACTCATGTAATATTCATGACATATATTGTTCTCAAAACCCACTGCTTAACCAGCTGTCCTGTGTCCTGCATATGGCTATCCTGCATGTAGAACCATGCTCTTACACCTATGAAATATTACCTTATTCCCCAAGTCATTTCTCAAATGTGTCAAGATAATTTTCAAATCTAATCCTGTCCTCTGGCATCCTTCCAATCTATTCTCAGCTTTGTGACAATGGCAAATTTAATAAGCAAACTCTTTAATACATAATGCAAGTATTACTGAAAAACCAGAACAGTGTCTGAAATAAATTCTTGTGAAATACACATGACAGTGAGACTGCAATAGCTGCTTCGGGGTTACCTTATCCAACCAATTTTGCAGCTATATCCCAAACAACTTACATTAAGACACTGCTTGATGGTCCCTAGATTGTTTATAGGGGAGTCTTGGCAGACAGCATTTGGAAGTTTCTTACAGTGAAAACGTAGGACAATTGCTCCTTTCCTTTCATCCCCAAGTTTCAATCTCTTGTTATAGGGTATTAGATAGTTCCAGCAAACCCCTGCTGATTGCTGTTAGCTGCTTTCCTCCAAGTACTTAAAAAATGTTTGAATATTTGTAATTTCTCTAGGAACAACAATGATCTGTAAATCAGTGATAGGCTTTTTCCTTCTTGTAGCCCCCCTGCCCTTTTAAGGATCAGGTTTTCTGTTTTTCTGGTTTTCTTCACTCTCTCATTTTTCTTCTTCAGATTCTCAATGGTAATTGCTAAAAGAGCTAAGACTGATTTAGCCAATTCTTCCAGTTTCCAAGTATAGCATGTCTCAGGCACAGCTAACCTCGGAACACCGAACACATTAGGTACTCCCTGATTTGCCCTTTCTCTATTCTAGGCTAAGTTTTTCATATGCTCTTAATACCACCAGTGAAGACTGATGTGCTTCTGTTAAGCAGTAGAGCATCACTTTCCTGGCACGTGCTCTTACCAGAAATATACTTCCAGAACAATTTCTGTTACTCTTCATGGGTTGTTTTGTTTGGGTTTTTTTTTGTACACAGTCTTTCTTGTTCACCTATTTGGCATTGCCTTTTTTGATTATTTATTTTTTCTTTACATCTCCTGCTATTCTTTTGCACTTGTTCTGAATAATCCAAGCTAATTTTCTACATGGTTCCTTCTTGTTCTTGATATAAAAGAGGTGTTTATATTTTAGACAAATTTATTTTACTATGCTTTTTGTCCTTCTGTGCTGTCTCAATTTGTATTTTTTTATCTTTTTATTTTTTCTTTGAGGAACAACCAATTCCTTTAACTTCTTTTCTCCAGACTCCTTTCCAAAGGGATTATGCCCACAAACCTCTCGTATCCTTGGAAACTTGTTATTCTGATTCTTTTACTCAACCTCTTTCC